GTGAGGTCGGTGGCACCTCCCTGGGTGGTGCTGGGAAAGAAGGGGTTCAGATGTCTTCTGGGAACAGAGCCCTCTCTCTCCCAGCCCGATCTTGCCATCTGTGTCAGGTCACCCTCCCTCGTCAGCTAATACTGCTGCTGGCCAAGAGGCTTAGGCGGGTCTCCATGGCAACCGCAGCCGGCCTGCCTCTAGGTTCTGCAGGGACTAGTGACTCTGCTCTAGGGACAGACACACACTCCACAAACACCAGCCCAGCTGGGGCCCTGCTCCAGTGGGTGCCTCTGGTAAAACGTTTCCGACAGAAGAAGAAAGTCCAGGAGGCAGCCAGCAGAGAAAGAGTTGGGGGGCAACTGTGAGGATGGTGCCCACCGTTCTACCTCTGCCCATCTGCAAAGGCTCAACTTTCTACTTTCCCTAGAAAAGATCAAGGCTCTCTCCTCCTAGACTGGGAAGCAGAAAGCAGGACCTCTACAGTGACATTGCCCCAGAAGGAGGTGGATCTCAGGTAAGAGTGTGTGTGTGTGTGTGTGTGTGTGTGTGTGTGGGGTCTCCCTAGAAGTGGTAGTGAGCAGCTGCATCTTTAGGAGTCAGCCACACTTGGCTATGAACTTGGAGGGGAGACTCCCTGGCCTTTTGGGAACTAAACAGTAGGCTGGATCTAGGACCCAGGTGGCGGTGGAAGGCTCCCTCAGTCCTCACTGGTCAAAGATGGGGCCAGGGGTTGCTTAGCCTGGTTCTTTCTTCATAAACTTGTGGGGAGCCATGGCTGTTGTTTACTCTGGGCAGAGTGAGCCCCGGAGAGACACCAACCTTGTCCCTCTTGTGCCATGCAGAGGACACAGGCAAGGGAAGAAAGCAGATCTCAAATCAGAGGGTGTCATCCATCCGGAAAATGTAAGTTCGGCACCTCTGAAGGGCAGAGCCAAATCTAGGCATATAGCAGGGACCAGGGAATGTGTGCTCCATAGTGGAGCAGCTTATGAGGTCCCAGTAAGGCACCAGCAAGGGAACCTGGGTGGAGGTGGGGGAGGATTCAATGGGTTGTGACATTGGGATGAAGGGAGAGTTTCTTGGAGACTGTCCACCATAGTCAGACCTGAGTACTTGCCCCTCTTCCCCAGTGCTAAGAAAACTGACTGAGACTCCATTCATCCATCGGCCCGTCTGACATTCATCCATCTATGGTCCCATCTATCCACATGTACAATGGAACCAGCCATTCACCTGCTCTCTCACCTGGGGGGGGGGCCACCCACTGACCCATCCATCCACTCACTCAGTCTTTCCCCTGCCCACCCATCCCCATCCCCAGCTGCCTGTGCAGGTGCCCGTCCTTCATTACAGATGTTGAAGTGATGGATCCCATGGCTACCGAGATCCACGCCATCTCCGTGGGGAACAGTGAGAGCCAGGCTACAGGAAGAAGCTGACGCTTAGAGAAGGGTTTGAGGGTTGACCAGGTCTTTGCCAGGGAGGTGGAAGGCTCATAGGCCAGGCCCGTTCACACCTGGTTCAGTGAACTATAGGTAACTTTTCTAATGCTGAAAAGAATCAAAGCTAACTTGCAGCTCGTGAAGTTGACCTTGGGCCTCTGAAAAGCAGAGCCCGGGAGAGAATTAGTGAGAGAGGGCAGTTACACGTGCTCTCTGGGCCTCTGCCAGAACCTAGGGTCTGGCCTTGGCTGATACTGCTGCTCTGAGCGGTAACCTATGCCCTAGGACAGCCTGGATCACCAGAAATGCAGTCCTCTCTAGCCTGCAGATACTCAGCTGAGCTGTGGGAGCCCAGCCCTACAAGGGCAGATCAGCAGCTGCTGGCCTGGGTGTGGCTCCCTCTGGACTAATAAATCAGGGTTCTTGGATGAAGGACAGCATCCCTTTCATTGTGTGGTACCAGCGAGCATAACGGTCCCCTCTATTGTCTAGGACCAGACGCCTCTTCCCTTGGGATTCAGGGCAGGTGTGGAGCATTTCTAAGATGAAAACCACTGTCCTCAGGGATGTTCAGAAATGGGTGGAGGAGAGGCTCAGCGTATGAGCAGAGGAGGCAGTGTAATGAAGGGGAGAGGCAGGAGGTGAGGGGAGAGTGACACCTAGGGGCAGTGGTAGGAATGAGGGTTTTTGTGTGGACCAGCCCCAGGTGCCCACAACCAGCTTCTCTTGGAAAATGGCAGCTCAGTTCAGGGCCAGGGAAGGCCAGGATCCGGGTTGGGGTGAAACTTGCACTAACTCATGGGATTGGAGGGCAGGGTAGGCTTTCCCTTCTGTTCTACAGACCTCTGGGGGTCACTGAGAAAACAATTCTGAAGTGTTTCTGAATGAAATACCACCCAAGCTGGGTTAAAGAAAACCAGCTCTATAGAAATGCAGCCATGGAAATGCACATAAGAACAACTTGTAACATAGTGATAGCTGTGCTTTTCTAGAAATAGATCGGATTATAAAATCTAGTGACATACCTAATAAACACCGTGTTTCAGAGTAGTGGTGAGCACACAATATTCACAAATAACAATGTTGAAGAGTCGGGACTATATTTGTGATCTTGGCTGGGGGTAAAGTCTCGGGTGCCAGGGTACTCCTGGGCTATGTGTGGTCATTCCTACCTGAAGGAGATGCTACGTTAAAATAATTTAGACTTATTCATTTTATGTTTGTGCATGTTTTACGTGTGTGTGTGTGTGTGTGTGTGTGTGTGTGTGTGTGTGTGTGTGTATGTGTATGCTCCACATGTGTGACTGGTGCCTGTAGAAATCAGAAGTGGGTATCAGATACCCAAGAATTGTGAACCGCCATGTACTGCTGGCTCCCTGCAAGAGCAGAAAGTGCCCTGAACTGCATAGCTCTCTCTCCAGCCCAGAAATGCTACATTTTAAGTTAAAGGTGGAAACAAAGTTTTTTCTAAGTTCCTAACTTATTGATTCTCCTAGGACCCCAGGGAGGAGTCCCAGCACTAAGGGCCAGTGACAGCCACAGGTGGACCAGCCTTGTGATGTGAAAGCTCTTGTCAGGCTTAGCTAATTTTACAGGAACCTGAAACAGGCAACCTCATTGCCCCTCTTACAGATGGGAAAACCGAGACTCCGGTGGTCTGAACATAGACTAGATGTATCAGGTATGGCTGGCACTCTCTCCTCAGCCTCAGCTTGGACACAGATGTGTCAGGTACAGCTGGTACTCTCTCCCCAGTCTCAGGATGTCTCAACCGAGACAGAAATTGACCAAAGGGAAAGGGGACAACCAGGCCACCAAGCATGTCTGAGGTTGAAGGGGAGGTGAGACTGGGCTCCTTAGCAGAAGAGACCCAGGGAGAGAAGAGAGGAGTAGCTACCATCAGAAGCAGCATCCCCTGCCCCATCTCCCAGTCACGAGAGAGAGACATATCCCCAAGATTCTCATAGACCACAGTGTTGGGGGTCTTCACAGTCTTGGGACCCTCAGTATATCATCCTAGCTGGTCTTCATTTCTTCCTTTCCCACCTTGTGTCACTCTAGGCCAGCATTCTGCCTGTTTTCCCAGGCTTCTGACAGGCAGAGAGGCTGTGCTCACTTCCAGACTGTGTACCAGGCTCTGGGAGGGCAGACCCAGGACTTCACACACCTTCTTTGGAGTGTCACAGAACTCTGGTGTGTGCTGCAGTGTGCCAGTCCCGTGTGTGGATGAGGACCGTAAGGCCTGGCTGAGAATGAGGTGGAGAGTTCTCAGTGGGGGTTTGCTGGTGTCCTCTCAGACGGTCACACACGGATGGCAGAGGTTCCTTCCATCTAGGAGAGCTGACTCCAGCGGATGTATTACAATGACTCTCTATAGACCCCCCCCCACCCTCAGACTCCAGAGTGCTTGGATTACAAGCACACCCCACCACACTTGCTCCTTGAGGGAGCCTCACATCTAGTGCAGTGGAAGGCATGGCACAGGCCCACACTCTGCCCACCTCAGGCCAGCCCGGTGCTCTGCCTGTGCCCGCTGGTGGAAGTTGGAAGAAAAGACAACAAACACCAAAAAGCAAAGTCAAAATCCCTCAGATAAAACAACTGCTTTTGTTATATGCTGGAGTCACACACTTGTGTGTAAACGCACATGCGTGTTGCTTGTCTGAATGGTTGGAATGTAAGCCTGCCCACACCCACAAACACTCCAGTACAGTTTTCTAACATGCTCTTAGACCCCAGGGCTGCTTCACACCTAAGGCAACTAGCACTCACTCCCCAGACCCCAAGGCTCCTTCACACCTAAGGAAACTTGGCAGTCACTCCTAGCATCCAGTCTGGTATCTAAGACTGTAAATGAGGCTGAGTGGGAGGAAGCCTCCATGTCAGGCTCTGAGATCCCCAAGGAATGTGAGGGGCTTTGGAAGCTTGCCCGGGAGTAGGGCCTCCAGAGGGGGCAGTGAGGAGAGCTGAGGAGCAAAAACTACAATCCCGCAGGGTGGGTCACACACAACCTGGCTGGTCCTGTAGTCTGTCTGTCTGACAGCTGTCTAAAGACCGTCCTTCCCTTCCCCCACCCTCCCTCTCCATTCTGTGGCCTTAAGAACTTAATCGGGCTTGTCCCTAGAGCTTCCTGGGGAGCAGCTGGCACCCAGGACAGAATTAGCTGCAGCAGAAATCTTGCTGCTGTTGGATCTGGGCCAGTGTGGAAAAGCACGGGGGTGGGGTGGTGGGGTGGTGGGGAAGAAAGCTGAGAATGTGCTCCCCTTTCCAGTGAGACTCCCAAGCTGGTGCCCAGAAGTTGAGGGTTCACAGAGCTTGGGTCTCAGGAGGCCCACCCAGCCTTAGCCTCTGAAAAACATCTGCCTCTACAGGCCAACTTAGGTCTCCAGGAGAGAGGGGCCCAGGAGGTTCCTCTTGAGACCGGCTCTGGCAAGCGGTTGTACACTTCCCTGTGGGTACTGGCCATTTGGACTTCATCTTTTTTTTTATTATAATTATTTCTTTTAATCCTTTTTGAGAAAAGGTTCTCTGTGTAACAGCCCTGGCTGTTCTGTAACTCACTCTGTAGACCAGGCTGGCCTCGAACTCATTATAGATCCATCTGCTTCTGCCTCTTGAGTGCTGGGATTAAATATGTGAGCCACCACCACCACCCACTTATATTTTCGTCTTTTATAAACTGTCTGTTCATTTTATCGATCCACTTACTGATCTTGTGGATAAGCTTCTTGTGTATTTTTTATTTCTTTGTATATTTTAGATACTAATTCTATGCATTGTGTGCATGCATCAGGTCAAAGGTTCTCGCCTATTCTGTAGGCTCCTCCACACAGTTAGCTTTCCTTTTAAATATCACCCGGCTCCGTTGGTCCATTGTCGTTCTTATTTCCTGGGTAACTAGAGTCCTACTGAGAAAGTCCTTGCCTATGCTTGTGTCTGAAGTGTCCCTATGGTTTCTCTCACAGTTATAGAATTTCTGACCTTACATGAAGTCTGATCACTCTGGAACTGGTTTGCACTGTGTTCTGCGCAGGCAGCCCTGTGCACACCTGGGACCAAGGTTGGGTCTTCCACTCAGGCCGCCATCTCTCTCAGCCCTCCTGTCTGACATCTGCCTTCACTCTTACCTGCTCACCCACAACTGCTTCTCTGAACCCCTTTATCACCTAGTGTTCACCCTTTCCGTAGATACTGAGTGCACTCTGCCTAGCCATGAGACTCAAGTCTTGTGTCCCGTGGAGAGCAGCGCCTCCACATACTTCCCTGTTTGTGGCCCTCCACTGAATGACTGATGCTTACTGGATGAATGAATTATGAACAGATAGTGGGTGAGTTGAGTTTTATAAGGGCGATGTCAACCTATACACTTCTAAGTGCACCAGCCTTAGTCTGGAGGGATCCAAAACAGTGTTTTATTGGACTGGGCATAGGGTGTAAGTATCTGTGTGTTTGTGTGTGTGTGTGTGTTGTGTGTGTATTCCTCCATAGATCATGGGGATATATATGATTGTGCTCAGCTCTACATGGACTGTTTCCTGTTTCGGGTAGGCTTAGTGAGATTTAGGGAACAATTTCTCTGGATTCAGTCATCAGAATTCCTTCAGGATTCTTATCACCATGGCTGCATACATTATTTCTTTGCAATGTTTACAGTGACCTGAGCTTATTCACAACTGCTTCTCAAACGGCCCTATCTTGTTTTCCATAATTAAGTATTCTGCTTAAAGAGATTGTGACCTACATGAGGCTGCACAGCTGTAAGGGGTGGGGGTGGGAGCGAATATTTTCAGCTGGAGCTCAGCTCTCCTCTCTCCTTCTTGGTCTCTTGGGTTTTCCACTAGCTGCCAAGGGACACAGGGAAGACCCACCCACTTCTCTGTCTCAGCAGGGCCTGGGGGACCATGTCCCTCATCCCATGGTTCCGGTGGAATGACACCTCGCCCCGACTGTCAGCCCGGAGCCCAGCTGAGATGGTGCTGGAGACACTTATGATGGAGCTGGCTGGGCAGATGCGTGAGGTGGAGAGGCAGCAGAGGGAGCGTCGCAATGCAGTCAGGAAGATCTGCACGGGAGTTGACTACAGCTGGCTGGCCAGCGCGCCCAGGCCCACCTATGACCTCAGCCCTGGTGAACGGCTACAGCTGGAGGACGTATGTGCCAAGATCCACCCATCCTTCTGTGGACCTGCCATCCTCAGGTAATCCCAGCATTGCCCTGGGGACCAACTGTGACACTGCGGGCTCCAGAGAGGGTAACCGCTGTTGCAGCTGCCTGAGCCACTATGAGCAGAGCCAGAGGGCATGAGTGGCCTAGATATATGTTAGCTGGGGTAGGGCAGGAAAAGGAACCCAAAGGGCAAGATCAGACCTGAGAGGGGAGTCTTCTGGGGCTGGAGGCAGATCCTGGAGGCCCTCAGGCTGTGATGGGTGAACCTCAAAGCCGGTAAACTCTCTCCTCCCTGCCTGGGTGGTCAGGAACCTGCCCATCAACAACAGCTCCTTTATCATCTGTTGTCTTCTACATCCCTGCTGCTTCCGTGGCAGGATTCCTTCCTTAGGACCTTTCCCCGGCAATCTCTCCAAAACTGGTGTCTCAATTATTCTGTTTCAATCAACTTTGACACGGGTCAGCCTGAGGTGTGAGTGTGTGTATGGGGGAGAGGAAGCATGGCTTAGCGAATGTGTGAGAGTACAGGGCACCAAACATGTAAAGCTTGGGTACAGCCAGATCCAGAACTCAAACCACCTCCCTGAAGCTGCGACCCATCCAGCTCTGTCCTCACTGAACTGGCAAAGGCAGTCCAAAACCAGCAATGGTTTCAAAGGAGGAGAAGTTCTCTTTGTGGAGGACAAATCTACAGCTAAGTGTGTTAACCCCGGCTCCTGCAATGGCCACCACCACCAGTCCATTCTGTGCTCTCTCTTTGAAATGCTCCTGAAAAGAGGGCTTTGCCTTTATTTACCCCCTTTGGTTTTGTGGTCTTCTTGCTGGCTGCCTTCCTTTCAGACTGCCATCTCCCGTTTTTCTGGTTCTACATGATGGGAGTCCCTGAAGGTATTCAGAAGAGAATATGGGGCTGAGGTGGAAAGCCATAGTGAGGGGACAACAGTGCTACCTCCTGGCTTTCCGGTCTGCCCCTGTTGATGCTGGCTTTCTAGAGGGTGGAGGAAAGCAAGGATTCAAACGAACGATTCCTGAGCTCCAGGGAGAAATCTTCTAGGCAGGGGAAGCAGCTCAGGAGATGCACAAGGATCAAGGAGGCACAGTTGTCCTTCCTGCTGGTAAGGACAGAGGCCTGTGTGATAGCACAGTGTGTCTATCATCCTGAAGAGACATGAAGCTGGGGGAGATGGAACTCTGGGATTACACACAGTGACATAATCAGACGTGCATTTCAGAGCAATCACCAGGACAGGTGGGGCACAGAAAGTCTTCCACAGCCAGGCTGCATATCTTTGCGGACTCTGTCCCCCTCCCCCAGCCCTAGGCTGGTGTCAGGTTACTTGCCCATGAGCGTGAACCTTGCAAAAAGGCAGGAAATTGAGGCTCAGAGGTGAACAGCGCTGGGATTTGAGCTCAGTTTTGACTGGGACAAGAGTAAGGCAGGGAGTTGCCGGCAAGTGGGATGCTCAGCTCATCACGTTGTCACTGCAGGTTCCGACAGCTGCTGGCCGAGAGGGAGCCCGAGGTGCAGGAGGTGGCGCGGCTCTTCCGCTCGGTGCTACAGGAGGCCCTGGAGAAGACGAAGCAGGAGGAGGAAGCCCATAAACTGACGCGTCAGTGGAGTTTGAGGCCTCGCGGCAGCCTGTCCTCCTTCAAAAGCCGTGCACGCATTGCGCCCTTCGCCAGTGACATCAGGACCATCTCGGAGGACGTGGAGCGCGATGCGCCACCCCCGCCACGTACCTGGAGCATGCCGGAGTTCAGGGCGCCCCAGGCCGACTGACCTCCTTGGGCGGGCACCTGCAGGAGGGAATGACAGACCGGTGACCAGGTTGCCGGTGCTGGAACCTCCCCAGCTATCCCGAAGACCCACAAGCAGCGCTGCTGACTATGGAGCCACCTACCCTACGGAACACAACTGCTTGGGTACAGGGAAGAGTCAGGACTTGAGCCCTACTCCTCCCCAGTAAGGTCTCCAGGTCCCAGTCTGATGCAGACATAAGGCCTGGCATCGTCTCCTTCCCATCTCCGACCACTGCCTAGAACAGGGAACAAATGTCTGCTTCCTCCTTAGGGCTTGCGTCCTCATCCTAATTTCCGGGATGCCCTATTCACCCCATCCATTCAGGGCACATTTTCTGACGACCAGATGACACTCACTCAGGGTAGTCACAGTCTCGTAGTTCAAGACAGCTGGTGGGGACCAGAGACTGTTCAACTCACTGTTGAGCTAGTGGCGAAAAATAGAGTTTGCCAAGGGTCTCACTGCTTTCGCCTTAACCCTGGTCCCTCTAGAGTGGAATTGATCCTGCCTCTGAGGACCAATGGCTACATCTCCAGCCGCTATAGATAGTCTTACCTATCCCTTACCACTTACCACCACAGGGGTCAGGTTGGGGTCAAGGCTGCTCTCCCAGAAAAGTACTTAGGAATAGTTAGGATGATCATGGCCCCCATGGTGTCATCATGTGGAGTGTGGCCAGTTCAGAGTTAGGGCTTGGAAGCCTTCAGACCCTGCTGCTGGAGCTGAGGCCTCTGTTCACACGTGCCCTCCACCTTTCCTAGGAAGTGAGGTCACCTCCAGTGTCTGAGTGACCAGTCCCACATAGAGTCCTACAGCTTCATGTTCTAACTGGTGGTGCATTGTGGGCTGCCTGTGTAAAATCTGGAAGGTGAGGTGCCCCCACACACTCTGGGGTAGAAGTGGGGTTCAGGGTAGTGGGTGAGCCAAGTGTCTGTCTCCAACTCCCAGAAAACACAAGTGAACCTTATAATAGTTCAAATAAAATGCCAGGGTAGGGAAAAAACACCAGGGAATGCGTGTAGTCTCAGGCTCAGTGGGATGTCTCCAGGCGTGTGTGCGTGCGTGTGTGTGTGCGCGTGCGTGAGTGTGTGCGTGTGTGAGTGTGTGTGCGTGAGTGTGTGTGCACGCGTGTGCGTGCGTGTGTGCGCGCATGAGTGAGTGTGTGTGCGTGCGTGAGTGTGTGTGTGCGTGAGTGTGTGTGCGTGCATGAGTGTGTGAGTGTGTGTGCGTGCGTGTGTGTGCGCTCGCGTGTGTGTGTGCGTGCATGTGTGTGCGCGTGTGTCTCCCCTTCCTTCTCCTCCTCTCTTCTTCTCTTGCTCCCTTCCCCTCCACTCCTCCCTCCTCTTCCTTCTCTTCCTTCAAGACAGGATCCAACTATTCTGACTGGCTGGTCAAGCGGTTCTTCTGCTTCAGTCTCTTGAGTGTTGAGGCCGCAGAATGGCCACTCCTTTTAAGTGACCTTGTTTTGGGTTACTTTCCTGGAATCGGGATAGAGAGTGACAGGGTGACTCCTCTCATCCACTGTTGTCAGGATGAAGGAGCCGATTGGCTCATTAGTGTAATCACTTCTAAATAAAAACACCTTGAACATACCGTTTACTAGAAGGTACTGAAAAGTTCCCTCAGTTGCCAAGGTTTGGATGGAGATCCAAAGGGACCTGTGTTGGGTGGTGGGGGTTCACTTTGATTCCGTGGGTTTGTGGATGCTTCAGCTGTGACTGAAAAGACTTTGAAACAAGTCTACAGTTGGGAGAAAATGCTGAGGGAGATGGAGCTCACCAGGCACCCTGGCTGAGGCCCTCACTGTGAGGGAGGGAGGGAGGTTCAGAGGTGCCCTCAGAGGATGACTGATTTCTTCTTCCAGGTCTCATCAAAGAAAAGGGAAGCCTGAGGTGGTGAACTTGCTTTTGAACAACAGCCAGTGGCCCCACATCCCTGCTAGCCTCCTCAGTACCTTCCTGCTTTGTTCCATTTCAGCTGTGACATGCAAGCCTGCAAGGGTTCCGGAGCCAGCTCTCTGCACCCAGGCTGCTAAGGGACCAATGGCACTTGCCACCATTTCTACTTAAACTCAGGAACAGCAAACAAAAGTGTCTGACGAGCAACTGGTGGTGGGGGTGGGAGGGCTGGATGCCTAGAACAAAGATGGCTTTCCTCTGCATGTAGCACAGAGCCTCTGCCCGCTAAGCTGGGGCTTAGCTGCGTTACCTGATGACTGTGCTTGATTTGTGGGGCTTTTTATTTGTTATGAAAACTTCCAAGTACTAGAAAGTAAAGGGAGCTTGAATAGTTATTAATATTAATAACTTACATTTCCTGTTTTAATATTTCAATAAGATATCTGGGAAGACACTTTAATATGAATCTCAGATATATTTCTACACTCCGGAATACTTTAGTGCGCTCTGCAGAAGAGAACATTCCAGAAGGTGGGGTAAGGAAGGAATGGCTGGGTGGTGGCACGTGCTTTAGTCTCAGCTCTTGGGAGGCAGAGGCAGGCGGATCTCTGAGTCCCAGGACAGCCAGGGCTACACAGAGAAATACTCTCAAAAAATTATATATATATAATACATATATATGTAAAACATTGCTGTTCTAACTGTTAATAAAATTAACACTAACTCTTTTACCTTATCTAATACGAGCCCACACTGAAGTTACCTAGATAGACTTTCTCCAAGATATGAGTCTTGTGGTTTGTTTCTAAGAGTGAGGGTCCATAAAATCCCTCACATGGACAAGAAAATTATGATTGATTTGCAGTCAGTCATATAGTGTTCTGGACCTCTCCAATGGAGTGTTGCTTATGGCGTATCCTGTGGTAAAGAGTAAGCTAATAAAGGATAGTGACCCTGAGAGTCAGCTAAAGATATACTCTCTGCTCAGATTACCATCGTAGCCGTTTGAGGAAAATTCTTCAACACAACCAAGATTCTAATTCTCTGAAATAATGTTTGCAGCAGTACCGAAAATACAGCGGTTTGGATGTGGGTGCTCTGGTAAGGGTCTGACTTAAGACGTGGTCAGCAGCTGGTGGTGTGACCAGGAGAGACGCTCTAGGGCGCCTCCCTTCGTCAGGGTAGTCTGTGGATGGAACCATCACTAATAGCATAGTGGTGGGTAACGAGCCCTTGCTGGAGGAAGGGGGTCCCTGGGCTCTGTCCCTGGCCTCTTCACCTACCCCTCCCTCCACTTTCCCAGATCCAGTATGCCCTTCCGCCTAATCCTCTGCCTCACCACAGGCCCAAGTCAGTGAGGCAGAGTGAGCATGGAACTTCTGAAGCTGTGAGCTGAGCCGAGTCCTTCCTCCTCCATGTTTCCGGGGTAATATGTCCTGGCATGGGAGAGCAAGCACCACACTTAATCTTCTTTTTGTTCGAAGCCGCTCCTCGCCACACCCATTTGCTGTGTGTCTCCGAGCTTGCAAATAGCAATGAAAACCATTTCCTCTTTCTTCTCATTAGAGACAGAACTAAAACCCATTAAATTAATTCAGCGGAAATAGCCATAACCGTAACCGAAAAGGCAGGTAATGCAAAAAAGTACTTTATTTTATCCTATTGTGGGGTTGGGGAGAAAATCCAAGGCCCAGCCGTGGTAGGCAAGCAATCCACGGCATCTTCACTGTGGTCGATGTCCATGTCAGATGTCCTCATTCTAAAGTTCACCCCATAGCAAGTGTTCATCTAGTAACCAATAAAGCATGCTACATGAAAGTTTATCTGACAAACCAGTTTTTAGACAATCATCTGCATATGTTTCTAGGTACAAACACATATGTACATGTTTCTGGAAATTAGCTTATGCCGCTTTCTGCGTAGTCATGTGTATTATATTAAATCAACATCGTGAGATCTAAAGGTGCTAATCGAAAAACAGAAACGCTTGCTAAAGCTTTTCTCCATCATAGCTAAAAGAAAACTAACATACTTTTTAGAGTTTTCCAAATATTCCTGAGTTTGTCTATTCTTGAGAAAAGTGTTCACAAGCCCAGAGAGGCTGCATTTTCTAGCATGTTCCATCATGTTGTCCAGCTCAAGTCCAGTCATGGTTCCTCTGCTGGAACAAATATAGAACTTAATTCCCTAACCCCACTTTCCATGTCCTGGCTAGAATTTGGCTGGGGAGGTGAGAGGTCTGGACACAGTGGCCAGGAAGGAGGAAGACGTTCCAGTAGCCAGCTCTTTCTCTAGTTCTGAACTGGGATCTATGCTGCTGGCAAGAGGCTATTCTGTTCCCTACTGGGGCCAGGCACATCTTCTGGACTCTTATGAAGTGTTCAGGTTTCAGATCAGGGCAAAAGCAGTCACAAGCAAACGGGAAGCAGACCTGACCAACAAAGCTGTCAAAGGAGGTGGGTAACTTCATTTTTTTCTCCAAGGAAGCCAGTTGTGACTCTGCCACGGACAGAGGGTTGTCTGTTGTAGGGAAGTTCCCTTAAGAACTTCTGACTGGTCCTTACGGTTCACACAGCACCTCAGCGTCATCTCAGGAACTGACAGGTGCTCTGTGCTGGCCTAGGACTGGGGATCAGCTCTGGGACCAGGCTCCTCCACTTTACACATACAGGATGAGCGTGTGGATCTCAACACAGAGTTTTCACAGAGGCAGAGGGAGGAGCATGAGGCATTTTTGATGTGTCTCTACTGCTCATCAGATTGTTAGTTCTCAGAGGCAATGGTCCATGTCTGATTTCAGTTTACATCTCCCACGCAATGGCTGGCACGTGATAGAAAGTCAACACACTTTTTATTTCACTTATTGTGCTGGGTAGTTTTGCGTCAACTTGACACAAGCTAGAGTCATCTGAAAGGAGGAAACTCAGTTGAGAAGATGCCTGCATAAGATCTGGCTGTAGCACATTTTCTTAGTGGTTGATGTGGGAGGGCCCAGTCCATTGTGGGTGGGGTCATCCCTGGGCATGCGGTCCTGAGCTCTATAGAGGGGGAGCAAGCCAGTAAGCAGCACCCCTTCATGGTCTTTGTAGCAGCTCCTGCCTCCAGGTTCCTGCCCTGTTTGAGTTCCTATCCTGACTGCCTTGGAGGATGAAGGAAGTGTAATTTGACTTGACCCCTTCCTCCCAAAGTTGCTTTGGTCATGGTGTTCATCAAAGCAACAGTCACCCGAACTAAGACACTTACAAACATTCATTGAGCCCTTCTGTATATCCACCTGGGAGCTGGGTTGAGGTAGGACTACCTGAGGGGTTCTGCCCAATGAGATAAAGCTAAGTGTTTGATTATCTGAGTTGCTCAGACAGCTCTGGGAGGAGGTGGGATTTCCTGAGAAAAATGACAGGGGTGTGTGTGTGTGTGGACTCAGTGAGTCTGGGTTGCTATACTCATTTGGACAGTGCCTTTCCTTGCCCACTTTTGTGCTTGAGGTATATGCATCTACTTGGCATGGGACCCTTTGGAGAGAGGCAGAGGCACCCACACTACAGTTCTGCATTGTGTAGTGATCAGTCAACGCTGCACTGTGTACACAGCAGTGGAAACATTCCTAGCTGTATTACATCTGAGCACAATGCATCACTCGTGTGTGAAGTGGCACTGGGGCTGAAAACCTCCCCGTCTGAAGCGCAGTGATGAGGCAGTGCTGTTGACAGCAGTGAGCGACAGAGTGAGCGACGGGCTGCTGTGTGTTCCGTGCTGTGCTTCTGCTGTGAGTTCAGAAAATACTCTATTATTATGAAAAGGTAACAACTGCAGGCAAGCCCTCAGCAAGAACTCTGGAGAGCCTGGCTATCTTAGTAGTCCTGTGTGCTGTGACCCTTTCAGTGGGACAGGACTTTGAGGCAGCCCTAGTGATTACAATTCTGACTCAGACCGGCAGGAGGCAGGAGACAGTCTCTGCAGGACAGAGCCAGGACAATGTGTATGTTTATGTCTTAGTTTTCAGCAAGAGTTAAAAAACCTTAAATGTAAAAAAGCTTATTGAAGAGGATATAAAGAAATATTTTGGGAGCTGGAAAGATGGCTCAGTGGTTAAGAGCCCTGGCTGCTCTTCCAGAGGACTTGAGTTCAAGTCGCCAAACTTCCACCGTGGCTCCAGTTCCAGGAGATCCAATGCCCTGTGGCCTCTGTGGGCACTACGAATGTATATGGTGCATATACATTTTTATGCAGA